AAGAAGGCATTAAGCAATTTAAAAAGTATTAAAATCACACAATTTATAATATTAAAATGATATTTAGAGAACTACCCTTTGAGAAAACTGGTAACTTTTCAACTTGGAATATTTATTTGCCATAATGTATGTTGTTTCTGTTAGTATATAAAGTGTTACCAATACTTTTTAAAGAATTGAACATTCAAAATTATTCTGGTTTGATTCTATTATCATAAATATTGATTTGTGTGATCAAATGAATAAAACCTCTTTGGAAATCCTCAATAATTTTTAGGTAGATTCTGTTACTATTATTGTTTGGATCATAAATATTCCCCAAGGTTCCTGGAGTGATTATTTGATCCCCAATGCAGCAGTATTCAGAGACGGGGTTTTTGAGAAATAATAAGATCATTGGATCATGAAGTCTCTAACCTTATTAATCGATTGAGCCATTGATGATTCATAGCTGAATGGGCTACTGGGAGGCTGTGGAGACTTTCAGAAGTGAAGCTCTGCTAGAAGAAGTACATCATTGAGCATGTGCGCCCTTGAAGGATGTATTTTGTCTCCAGGGCTCTCATCCTCCAAAATCTCTCTCTCTCCATTTCTCTCCCCTCTGTGTGTCTGTCTCTATCTCCATTTCTCTCTGTCTCAGTACCTCTGATTGTATCTGTCTCTTTCTCTACTTCTGTCCTTTCTGGCTGCCATGAGGTGAGTCTCCTTATAATCTACAAGCCCCCACCATGATGCTTTGCCTTACATATTTTGTCACAGCTACAGAAAGTCAAATGACATAATTAGCTAAACTTTTAAGAACAACTTATTTAGATTGTAATTTTGGAGCTATGTTTGAGAGACCACCAAAATAACCATTATGTCACAGCACACAGGGAATTATTTGCAATGCTTGTATTGGATAAGAGGGGAGAGGTGGTGAGAGAAGGAATTTCATGATTGGCACATTTCCTATTGTTTTGAAGTTGCAGAAGTGAGACTTTGAAAGCTATGTTTGAAGGTTTGGAAAGATTACATCATGACTGCAACATAGAAAGAGTTACAGGGTAGGAAGAGGAAATAAGAAGTTTGGTGATGGCATCCAACATGTAGGAGAAAGAATCTGTAATATGAGATAATAATGAATGCATAAAAATGACCAACTAAGGGAAATTCAGAAAGGAATCACTTTATTTTCACTGAAAGTCAAACCTACCACAACATTTCATCTCTAAATATAAAACCAAACCTACTGAAATTTTATTAACAAGTTCAACAATATCAAGATATGTACTTTCTCATGTAATCTATGGATATTACTCGGTTCCTTCAAAAATGAAAACTCTAAGGTTGTAGGTATTTTTAGTATAGTCAAGTGAAGAGAATTTATGAATGCATAGCTCTACACATAGAAAGCAATTGCCAGGAGTTGGAAAAGGGGGAGGGGAATCCATGTCCACTAAAACAACATGATTCCCTTTCTCCCACTTTCAGTTCTCTGGGCTTGGGAAGATCTGCCCCCATTATGTTGTAATCTTCATCAGAGGTCTCATACCTAACAGCTGCTATTTAGGTAGCCCCTTATGCTATGAAATTCAAACCCTCATTTTATCTCTTTCCCCACAGCAAAAATTGCAATATCTCATACCCAAGCTCCAGCTGTCAGATTCACACACCGTTCTATTTCAATGGCTGGAATAATCCCTTGCTCCCTTGTTTTCACTGAAGAAGAATGTGCCAACTTGAAAAAAAGGAACAAGGAAAAGGCATTTGTCGAACTAGATACTCAAAGGGGTGAAAACAGCTTGAAGAAATGAGATGTTTTGTTCACAGGCATTTTACATTTGACACAGCTTTTTATTTTTTAATAAAAAATTCACATACATATACATACAGAGAGAGACAGAGAGAGAGAGAGAGAGAGAGGAGAGAGAGAGAGGCAGAGAGAGACTTTCCAGCCTTTTTTTTTTGCAGCAAGCATTATATAAGTCAGAGAAGATATGCACATATTCTAATGCCAAGAAGTTTGTCAATGTGATCATATCTATGGCAACCATTCTTAAGTTAAATTTTATTTTTTAAATGAGAGAAAAATGTTTGCAAGTGCTCAGCCTTTCTTTATGGTGGTTATTGCTTAATATTAACAGTTAGAAACCCAAATTCAAAAGCAGCCTTAGAACCATGATGCCTCTAATGACAGTTAAAATAAAAAGAGCCAGGGAGGAAGTGCATGACCATATGGAAACAGAGTCCTACAAGCTCCTGGGAACCTGTTCATATGATTCGATGGCAATGGTGTCAGCATACACAATTCCATGCAAACTCAGGCAGACAAAAACCCAGCATAGACCTGGGAAAATGAACAGCAGACCACAATCTTACCTGAAGAAATACTGGCAACTGATTGCTGCCAGGTGAAGAAAGTTGATCTTCCTAAAACAAGGGACTCTAGATAGGCTGACTAGACCTCAGTGTATAGATTTGCACTAGGGATCATCTGGGGACACTGACTTGACACAGTGGGCCTTAACAGAGATGACAGAGCATATGAGCTCCAGTAGGGGGGTATGGGAGGGTGCCAGTGGGGATGGGGATATAAAGGCAATTAAGATTGTTTGAGATGTTCTGTGTGAAATACACAAAACTTCAATAAAAACAAATTTAAAAAATAAGCATTCCCTGAAGACTCCATTTGTAAACTAGAACACTGGTACAATCTCAGCTGTCCTTACTCTGAATGAGAAGAAGAAAATATCTGTGTCTGAAGATTAGAAGCTCTTAAAGAGTTTGACTTCAAGTTCTGTGTGAAGGGATACATGAAGAAGACACGAAGGAATCAAGTAAGTTCTTCTTAAGACCAATGCTGTTGGTAAGACCTCCTGAAAGGACAGAGATGAGAGGGAGAAAAGTAAAAAATTCTCAATCTTAAAGACATAGAGTTCTTTACACTCTTTAGTAAATTCTTTTCCTAAGATTTTTTTTTAAAGATCTATTGTATTATCTATATGTGTGTATATATGTATTTCTGTGGTGTACATGGATGCAGAAGCCCACAGATACCAGAAGAGGGTGTCTGATTCCCTGGTGCTGGAGTTACAGATGATTATGAGCTGCCCAGTGTGTGTGCTGAGAACAGAACTCCAGTCCTCTGAAAGATCAGCAAGTGCTCTTAACTGCTGAGCCATCAGCACAGCATCACTCCCCTACACACCCCTCCCCCAACTTTTCTTTATCAGTATAATTTTCAGTTCCTATCCTACTGCCATGGAATCATGATGGCATTCTGGCTGGTCTCTCTAACTCATTGGTTACCCTCTCTGCCCATTCAATAACACTTATTTTGTTTTCCTATTCTTCATTTTAAAAGCTTCTTCTGGCTTCCTCTAACTTCAGTCCAGCATACTGCTTCTTCTGTAACTATTCATCAAAGACTACTATCCTTAAAGCTCTTGATGAACAACCAACTTGCCTGTTTCTCCTAAGGCCTCATGTTCATTCTCTTCTCAACATGGCCAGCTCAGTCTCGACTGAGAGAGCATGGTAAGAACATAGTGCTGTTTTCCCTATTCTGAATGCTCGCTCCTCCAGCAATCCAAATCCCTTCCAGGATCCCTTGGGGTTTGGGAGGCTCATGGTAAAATCATTCATTCTCCCACCTCTCCAATGTGTTATGTCACCTTATTATAGATAAGATCAAATGAACATAAGTACTAAGCAGTTAGGTAACAATAAAGGACTGCTTTCTAAATATACTAATTTAGGTATCACTTAAAACAGGAGGAAGATGAAATCTTTCAGAAAGTAATTACAATTACTCTTAAAAGCAAAATCATAACAATCACAGAACCAAAGTACTTAAAAGATAATATTTTCTGTGCCATTACAAATACCCATATTATCTCTTCTTTTTCCAAAAGAAAACTCCTTGTAATAAATATTTATATACACCATTTTTTATTTATTTTAGTTTTGTTTTATTTTTTGAGACAAAAATGACCTTGAACTTGCAGCCAAAGCTGATCTTGAACTCCTGATCCTCCTGTCTCCTTATCAGAGCACTAAGTTTACATACATGCAATGCTTGCAAACTACAAAACATATTGAGACCAGGAACTATAATGGGCCCCGAATGTTTTTGTTTTTGTTTTCTTTACACTGGAAAATTTACCTTCATTACAGCACAGATAAAATCTTTATTTCTGAAACTTAGATCTTGAAGCTAAATGAAAAACAGCTAATGTTTTTCTTTAAGGTAGTTTGCCAAATTTAGAAAAAAAACTTCAATTTATCAAACAGATGGCAAAACCACCTTTAAAAATATTAAGTATGTTAAACTAGATACAAACTGATAGTTCCACTTCTGATAAATGCTGCTGAGGACAACCGAATGCTTTCCATTCTGTTTCAGTAATAAATCACTTTCCTGACGAGTTGGTAATGAGATTTTTAATCATGTGGATTGAACATATCCTCCAGTTAATAAAATACGTATCACCTCCTTTTTATCTTTAATAAAAGATTTGTACACTGCTCAAATGATTGGTATTACATTTTTAAAGAACCTGAGATTGATGTTTTTCAATTCTCTTTTCCATTTTACTGGGCTTTTATAATTCAAAGGTAATATACCCTGTAATTAATAATTCATAAGGTAATTTTAAGGCTTTTATTCAGAAACCTCTTTCCTATTGACTTTAGAACGTGTCATAAAAATGCAGGTTTAACATCTCGGCAATTCCCAGTTCTGTATGGATGAGGTTCGTGAATTTAAACGAGTCAAAATTGGTGCTTCAGAAATTGGGAGAAATAATTTTGAACTTGAAGGCACTGAACAAATATATTTTTAAAAGGTTTACGTTTTATTTCTCTCAACTGACAATTAACCACACACTACTTTTTCCCTTATCATTCAGGTATTTTCAGGTTTTTTTTTTTTTTGTTTTTTGTTTTGTTTGGTTAGTTCTAGAATTATTACAAGGAATAAATCAACTGCAAACAGTAATATTTAAAAATAATTTCTTAAGACTAGACTTTCAGGGATCATTGCTATAGTTTGTTACTAGAGAAGTTTCTCTGACTGTTTAGAGTACCAGAAGCCACGAGGAGGAGATGGAACATTCTCCCCTGAGTGTGAAGCCAGCTCTTGATGTTGCTTCTCTGCAACTGCCATTTGTCACTGATCATTCTCTCTTTGAGGAGAGTGGTGGGAGAGGATGCAGTCTGAGCAATTAAGAAAAAAAATAATTTTTTAAGCTAGTGCAGATTCATTCAGAGACACTTATGCCTGCAGGTATAGCTCTGCTTCTCTCATTATTGTTCTTTCAAGCATAGCAAAGCAGTAGGAACAGAAGCACAAGAGAATCTTCAGGTTTTCTTTTTTGTCCATTTTTCTGAACAGTCTTCTGGAAATTCATTGGTCAAAGGGAATAAGAGTATCACTTAGCCATATGTTGTAAATGAGCCTTGCACACAAAAGACTCTGCTCACTCAGCAAATCTCCTGTACTCTGATAAAACCACCAGGTATGAGGTAGGCTTGATTATGTGTGGAAAAATGAATTGTAAATATAAACTACCTCATAAATATGAGGCTTAGCATGCTTGCCCAAAAACTACAAGTCTCCTAAAAATTTGGTTAAGTATAGATGAAATAATATAAGCCTATTTCTAAATGAGTGAAGAACAACTCAAAGTTTGTCAGGACACTTAACTAACACTGACCATCAATTTAAAAATAAATCATGTAACAAATGATTATCACATGATTCTATCTCCACACTACTTTGGCAACAAGATCACTTACTATGTGTTCCTTAAGTTATTCATTGGCTCAGATATACGTCTTCATAAGTTAACTTTACATTCATCCACACACACGTTAATTTGTTTATTCAAGACCAGGCATGCACCAAATACTGTGATGAAAATTCTCATACAGATGAGAACAGTTCTGTGTCCTAGAGAGGCTTGTGGACAAATAAAAGTGAGACACATGAGTAGAAAACTTGTTGTAATGGGTAACATGCTCTTTTAGACGCACCTGACAGAGAAAAGGAGTGGGTTCTGTGTGGATTAAGAGGGACAGAAGTCTTTGTGAAATTTTATAGTCCAATGAGTGTTTAAAAATGAATGGACTTCCATAATGCGAACAAGACTAGGAAAAAGCCATTCTAGCCATAGGAGTGGGAGCCAAGGCACACAGGTGAAAACCCAAGGCTGAGTGATGGTTGAATTGCAACATGCAGAGAGAGTAGAGGAGATTCTCTAAGAGCAATGCTTAAGAGACCATAGAGAGTGGCTTTATACAACCATTGAGGAAATTTGGATTTTGTTCTCTGGGCAATTTTGATTAATTACAGGCCTTTAAGCAAGGGAATTGCTTTTCATTTTACAAAGAACAATTGAAAACAGCACAAAAAGAATATTAAAAGGCTAGGATGTAGAGAGATCCTAAAAATATTAGAAGACTGTGAAAATAGTCACAGTGGTGGCTAATGGAGCTGACCCAAGGCAGAAGCAGTAGAGATGAGGACACTAGATATTACAATGTGGTACCTGGAACACACTAGATACCACAGTGTGGTACTTGGAACACACTGTGACTAACTAAATCAGAGGAAAGTAGGACTTTGGGGTGAGTGTGTGATGAACTTCCAATTGCCTCTTTGACAACAAGGTAAAGCTGTTCGTTCAGAAAGGGGAATTAGGAAAGAGATATAAGGCTGAGTAGAGAGGCAAAGTCACGTATACCACATGTAGCACTTTTTGTTGTCAGTCAGGGTTACATAATCCCAGGTGACAGTTTGAGTTCATAATATGAGCTAAGGAAAAATCTGAATGGGAAAGGCAGACTCAGGACTCCAGGAAGATGAGTATTTCCTAGGACTGGCTGAGACTGTCTATGATCTATGGTCTGTGGTCAGACCACCTAAGTTCCTCTCCAGAATTGCATATTCCCAAGCCCTTCAGAATGTTTTGAATCAGAATCCTGAGTTTTGGCCCAAGAATATGCATTTCAACAAAATATTCATGGTATCCCTTTCTTTACTAAAACTTTATAGCAAGATATATTTATTTGTTTATATTATATGTTTGTTTTGCCTGCCTATATGTAAGTACACTTGTGTTGTGCAATGCCTGTGTAGGCCAGAAGAGGGCAATGGATCTCTGGAACTGGAAATACAGATGGTTGTTAGTAGCCATGTGGGTGCTGGGAACCCAACCCTGGTCCTCTGGAGGACTAGCCAGTGCTCTTAATTGCTGAACCATCTCTCCAGTCCCAGTGAAGCAAGTGTTTGGCACTCACATATATTTGCCAAATTGAATGAAAGAAAAAAATGTAATGAGCTTTTAAAATCCACTCTAATGTCTTCTATTTGTTTCTTAAACAATTTATCTCTATATATTGGAAATATATTTCTATATGCTTATTTTGTGGCATGTATCATGCTCATTATAAAATTAAGCATATTTTCCTCATTCCCTAACATTACATGTGGATTATTAAAAGAAGTTTGAAAACTCCTTGTATGGAGAATCTTTTCAAATTATATCCACTTTGGTTTTTTTTTTAAACTTTTGAATGAATAAATATTTGGGCATGAAAAAGATCACAATCTCTAATTATTTCTTTGATGACTATTATTTTCATCTGCACAGATTTTCTTTTTCTGTATTTTTCCAGACATTTTTTCTTCCCCTCTGCTGTACATCAAGAATAAAATAAAATCACCTGGAATATTTCTTGAAAGTACAATAGCTAACCCCATTGCCCCATCCACAGTCGACAAATTCCAACTCCACTTGTTCCTTTCTTACAATACTGCTTTTTATCTGTTTTCTTTTTCTCTGGCAGAATTTTTTTTTCTCATTTCAAATGCCCACCTGCTTTCCCTGCTGTTGAACTCAAATGGATTGTTAGCCAGCAAAGGAATGAGAGACCTTGTTATCTGCTGGAGAGGAGCTATGAAGAGGTATGGCTTGTCTGACTTCAGACTGCAGGTCACCCCAGACCAGAAGGAAAGGAAATTAGATCCTTCATTCCAGGCATGGAGGTATTTTGTCTGTGAGCCAGAACCTCTGTGACAGCCCAGGCACACACTGGGGACATGCTGACAACTCTCAACATCCTCACTTTGTTTCTGATGGAAACAAAGAGAAAAGAGACCTGCTTTTGAAAGATAACCTTCTTGAAAAGTAAATCAAACTCAGAATCCTCCCAGACACCAGGTAACTCATTTCCCAGCTTTATCTCAGCCAAGCTATTTGACCCTGCTTATTGGGAAGGAGTCCTTAGGGGGTATGGTCTCTGATTGAATCCAGCTGCAGCCTCAGGGCCAGCTGTCCTCTCAGTCTCTGATCAGGATCTTCCAAAGGTCTAGTCAGAAACTCCTGGGGAGTGGTGTATGGTATCAGAGGCCTGAGTGTGCTCCAATTTGTCATGGTACTGATTAAGTGCATACATAACAGATGGTGTCTTGTTTTAGATGGAGATGAGTAGGTGAGAAATTGTCTGGCTACATAGAAATTTTTTAATTAAAAAAAAAGAAAAGGAAAAATAATCTGCAGCTGGCATGTCATTTTTACCCCACAAGCACACTTTTCTTTCATTCAGTTTCAAAAGCCAAGAAGACAAAACTCAAACTCTCTCAACTTAGGACCAGCCTAAGATTGCCATTTTCCCTGTTACATTTATATAGGGTTGGAAAATGATTTATTTAAAGAGGAAATACTCAGATTTACCTTTCTTCTATCAAAATGAAGGTCAGAAAACTAAGGAATTGTGAGATGTTTCTAGGGGACCCCATACCACATCAACTTCATATAGATATGTAGTAGACCCACATCAGACCTACTAAGTTTAAAACTGTGGGGGAGGGAGGGAGGGAGGGATGATGCAACAGTATTTTAACAAGCCAAATGCTGATTCTGATGTATATTAAAATTCAAGAACCACTGTTTCATAATATTGAAAACTCAGTAACAAAGCTTTTAAATTTTTGTAAGACTTTCAGCATCAGTTCCAATGTTAGTCATTTTTAAAAAAGATTTATCATGGAAAACTGATGCCCAAAGAGGCTCTGAGACTTGCCCTAGTTCATACAGCTACTAAGAAGCAGAATTAGACTCCCAGCCCAGTCTAGTTTCAGAAATTAGACTCTCAGACATCCCTTTAGCTTGGACATTTTCCTATGTGCATCACAGTGATGGGATATATCACTGGACCCACATTACTATCTCAATTCCAGACCTCCTGTCAACACATCTTTTTCTCTCTCAAATCCATACTGTATCATTCCATCTTTTCTACCATCTATTTTATTATATATATTAGTTAGTTAGGGTTCCTCCTTTGTTAAGAAAAATCAATGAAAATTTACTTCAGACTTCAAACTTACACAAAATTAGAGAAAATAGTATAACAAGCCCAATTTATCTACCACTATTCTTGACAAATACCAATATATAGCAAATCTTGTTTCTTCTCAACTCCCACATACTGTATTATTTTAATGCAAATCGTAGACATTATATAATTTTACCTGTAAACAAAACACATATTTTTAAAAAACTAATTCTATAGCTATATAAAACAAAGATTGCTTAAAATCTTCAATGTGCAAAGAGTCTATATTTTTTCTGATTTTCTTAAAAGTTTCTCTATTTGAATCCAGATCCAACGAAAGCCCTTGAATTGGTTGGCAAGACCACGCTCCCGCTCTGCTTGTTTTTATTGAATTGTAATTTTGTTGTTATTGTTGTGGGGGGGAAATCAGATGATTTTATCATGTTAAGCAGACCCTGGGAGTCTTTTTTCTATTTAGGGCCAGACATAAAGACTTTATGCTTTGATGCTCATTTTCTCTCTTGGGTTTCTCAGCTGTCCTCTTCAAGCACACATACAAAGGAAACACTATGAAAACAAATGAATGAGATTATGTTTCAATAAAGCATTATTTTTAAGTGTCTGTGTCTCACTGTATGTTCTGTGTGTGTGCGTGTGTGTGTGTGTGTGTGCGTGTGTCAGTGTGTGCATTTCCGTGTGTGCACAGAGTCCTGTGGAAGATGTTGAGTGTCGTTCATCGCTCTCTGCCTACTCCTTTGAGGCAGGGTTATCTCCTTGAGCCTAAAACGCACAGTTTTGTGGAGGAGGTGTTTTGTTCTCTTTTGTTGCTAGACTAGAAGCCATCAAGCCCTAGTGATTATCTTGTCTCTGTCCCCTTCCGT